TTCCGAAAACAGAATGTGATTTGTTTATAAATGAGACGCCCGAGCGGGTCCCCACACTTTAAACATTTTATCCGAAAGAACGTCTGTAAGTGGAAAAAATTAAGCTGTGGGGGGGGGGGGGGGGGGGGGGAGGTCAAGCGGAATAGAGGCAAGGTGCAAATAATTACCACGGCGACCACCTCTGACACCGCGAGAGAGTCGAAACCGGAGGAGTTTCTAATCCGCCTAAATGTCAGAGCGTGGCCGGGCGCGGGTCTCCGCAGGCCTACCAAAGGCCAGCGGTTAGTCATGTGTTTACTCCTGCAGCTGCCGGGAAATCTGTCACCGGGAGAAATCTGAGGGAGGAATCCCACGATTCCCTCTGCCATTTCTCACAGCTCCCGCCCAGACCACATTAATCAGGGCCTGTGTGTGTGTGTAGGGGTGTGTGTGTGTGTGTGGGGTGTGTGTGTGTCCCAGGACGGGCGGGAACCCGGGGAGAAGATCTGGACCCCGAGATAACGTCGGCAACTGACCCCGGCCGCCCCGAGCTCGTTAGGCAGATGAAAGGAGCTTCCTGGGGGGAAACGGAGCTATGGCCGTTCTGTGTTTTTTGGCCAGAAAAGGCGGCCATTGTTCACCTGCGCTGGACGCTGAGGGTCTGAACCTATCAGAGGCCTGTCGTCGTGCGTGAATTCGAAACCCACAACCTGCAGAGTTTTTTTGTTTTTTTGTAACCTAACCAGGACCACAGAAAGAGGATTGTACGAAACGGTGAGCTAGACGGAAGCAAAGAGGTTGAATTTCAAATCGCATCCTCCGAGGTTCACGGTCGGGGTCATCAGTGGTCACATCCGGCCTCTTTTTGAAGTGTAGAAGCACGCGTGGGGCTGGAGGAGGCATCCAACGGTGCACGGATCGTAGTGGTTTCCACGATTTTTAAGTGTGGAAACTCTCGAGAATGTGCAGCTGAAGTCTCACCGTGCTGAATGTGAGATAACTGGATTTATTTGTTTGCCGTATTATCAGGATCCTGCAAGCACCCGACTCTGTCTCCTGTATTTTAACGGTCATGCTTTCACGCACAAAAAAGCCGCGCTGGCCCAAACATGTGTCTCAGACCTGTTTTCTTTCTCCTTTTTTTCCTTTCGTACTTCACAAAAACAAAAATGTAAACATACGTTTTCAACGGCAAGTTCCAGAAACACATCTTTACCCAGTTCTAAGATTACTGGACATCTATGTGAAGAGCACAGGAACTTAAATCCCCCCGCTGACTGCTGGTGGGTTTGAATGGGCTATAATTGGATTAATTTGATAAAACGGTCAAATGTCAGCGTCTGCCCCACGCGGCGCTCATTGAATTGAACGCGTCCACTCATTAAGAAGCTCCCGTTCTGACGAATTTAGACCGGGTTATCTTTTTTTTTTCTAACCTTCTGCTCTAAATGAACCAAAACTAACCAGGCTTGAACTGTGTGCTAGGCCGTGTCTTTCAGTCTGGGGAAGATTTCAGGGATGCTTTAGACTAGAGCCACACTTCACGCTCCACGCTGTTTGTTTCCTTTTTTTTTTCTTTTAGCACACTGAACATTCACAGAGCGAACTATTAAACGATTTATTAGAAAACGAATTGTCACACGTGGAGGGCGAATGTTTGCGCCCTGGATAATTCTGTTCTGATGGGAGAGAATATTTCCCCCTCACTTGACTGATCCACTGGTTCTGCTCACAGGAAATAAACCGCTGCTAAAGTGCTCTCTTTTTTTCTGAGGCAGATACTTTGCGCTCGTCTTCCGTCTGATTAGCTCTCAGCCAGTCCTTTCGTTTAATTCCTGACAGCCGTTTGTAACGTTTCCTGTTCCGTCAGCAGACAATATATCACGCGCTCCGCTTTATTAGATCCAAACCAGGTTGTGGGCATGAGCCGCATGGGGGAAGACTATTTAGTGATGTCTCAACAACTCAAATATTCCAGACGGAACGTTTGTCATCAGTGCTTGTTCTTCTGTTCACGGCCCAGACTTAAATAGGTTTAACCACCACTGACGGAGAAACTATCTCAAATGGGACTTCCACCTGGAAATCACCACACTTGTGTTTATTTGCAGCTTTTCACGCCCTCAATTCAGACACAATTCCACTTTTTTCCGGCTTTGAATACAAAAAGCAATCGGCAATTTCACATTCCCTCCTTCAGTCTCTAACAAAACCAATATCCCGACTTCTGATCTTCACGGCCTGGTCTGCTCCACAAACAGATATAGCTGGTTCATTCTTATATAATAAAACATCATTTATTCACAGAAGCAATTAGATACTACTTCAGTTTTTTTCCCGCCTCCACCTAAATCTTGTTATTTTTTTTTACACACCACAACTTTAAAGAGAACACATATTGTTACATTTACATCAGCTGACATCAGCTCGGTCTCTCCCACTCAGACTGTTTTTTGTATAATTATGTACACAAAGAAGCCGCTTTTTTGGTCTCCGCATTGTGCCGCTTTCATCCTTTTAAGCTTAAACTGTCCCCGGCACATGCGGGGAGAGAGGGGGATGATGAGATATCAAAGTCACTTTTATTGAGATGAAAGAAGTGGCCCAAACAGCCGTGGCAGACATTAGTCATCCCTCCGTCTGCCTGACAGAAACATGCTCCCAATTTACGATTCAGGTGCTTCCAGTAGGTTTCTGCCAGCCCGCTTCGTCCACATCATAAATTCCTCTTTATGCTCACTCATCCCACAGGCGGACCAGTTTTCCGGGCCCACCCTGTCAAAAAAAAAAATCCCCCCCCCCACCCCCCGGTGTTGGCATATTGGAAGCCGTCCAGGCTGCCATTAACAGCGATGTGAAACCCCGTGAAAGAGCTCTGCGTTTAAATAGACAGCAGCCATCGTGCCCTCAGGTGCAGATTTGTACTTTTTTTTTTTTCTTTTTTTATGTACAGGTTTTTTTTCTTTCGGCACTTTCATTTATTCTCTATTCTATAGTGTCGAGTCGGCAAGAGTCCCCACTTTTCGCTGGGTTCATTTTCTCTAAATGCCTCACATGGAGCCACTGGCTTCCAATCTATTTAATGAAGGTTTAATAGCCAATTGGAACATGCAGTATCATTAGCAGCAGTGTTGGTCTCATGCAAAAATCTGCCTTTTTTTCTTTTTTTTTTGATAACGAGAGGTGCAAGTGTTTGATGGGGGGGATATGAGGTTAGCACCTGCTGTTTAATGTATGTTGGGTCTCTGGAGCAGAATTCACATTTTACCGACTCTCACATGTCAACGCTGTTTGATCTGATTCAGATTTTCTTTAACGGATTCGTGGAAATGGATTTGTCCGTCCTCTGTTTGCCCTGATCAAAAAGAGTTTGGGATGGTTTTTTTCAATCCCAATCTGTTCTTTTGGGCCCTGCAGGGCCACCGTGGCTCCGGTTCCTCTCACTGCCGGCTGAGATTTATCACAGGACAAAAAAAAACCCAACAACATTTCAGTATCTAAAACGGGAACGGAGCAGATTTAGAGCACAGTTACCTTTGATTATTTCTGAGAATGACCTTCTGTATCTCTGTCATCTCGCGTGTCTTTTACAGCTTTTATTTATTTATTGCCACGCGTTTGATCGGCTGTGCTGCATCATCTGGGGCCTCCCAGCCTCCGACACACACCCCAGAATTAAAACACAAGTACTCTTTGTTTTCCTGTGACAGATTCCGCTTGACGAAGATTACGTCTGACAGCCGCAATAACGCCGAAATATAAATGGACGTTATTTAGTTGTTTACCGCGTTGGGTCCGTGCGTGAACATGGATGGGAATCCAACGACGATATCCCCCCCCAAAACAATCACACCGCAGAATACACCACCACTCAAAATATGTTTGCTTTTTTCCATTATGCCCCCTAATGCATACTGACAGATTCTTCTTATTTGCATTGACATTTACGTGTTTGCAGAGATTACCGGTGACTGATTGAAGAAGACAGAAAGCGTGATCGAGACGGAAACGCACTACCAATATAAACAAGTAAATTAGCCGGAGAAAAACATTAATAAAATTGTTTTTCTGGTCTTTGTGTGGAATCCGCCGTATTTACATAAATACAATCAGCATATTTTCACAGTTGGCTTGAGAATTTCCTTTTCGATGTAAGCAGCTATGCATATAATATGAGTATTGCAAGCCTATAAATGCTTCCCTAAATGCTCTTCGTAATGACCCCGGGCCGGGTCTGCTCGTCTGAGCGGTGTCGGTCTCGCGACAGGGATATGTAAGCTGTAATAATGCCTGCCGACGTCCGAAGTTGGCAATGTCTCGACTCTCGTTCTCCGTCTAATAATCAGACGCCGACAGCCCGTGTCTCTCTCTCTCTCTTCCTTCCTCCCTCCTCCCCCAACGGCGCGATCGCGCGATCACCCGGTGGGAAGGTAGGGCGTGTCGCTGTGGTAGTTGTAGTCCGGGCACACCTTCTGCACCAGCTTGTAGTCGGTGCTGTAGAAGGTGATGAAGATGCAGATGACTTTGAAGGGCTTGGAGCACAGCCAGGACACGTGGCTCTGGGTCTGCTCCTGGGGGCAGCTCTGCGAGGGGTCGTGGGCGCACAAGGAGTTCCTGGTGCCCTTCTCCACCTTCTCGTACTCCACCCGGCAGTTGAACAGCTTGGTGTCCTTGGTCTCCAGGGCCGTCTGCTGCTGCTGCTGGTGGGGGTGGTTCTGGTGGTGGTGGAACTGCTGGTGGACCTGGAACTCCACGGCCTTGGTGGGAGGGACCAGCCCCACCGAGACGTTGCCCTGGCCCGTGGAGTTGTGGCGGAAGTAGACGCTGAAGGTGCCGTTGCCATGGTCCACGATCTTGCCGGTGATGAGGAGGTTGAGCTTCACCGTCTTGATGTTGGAGTGGAAGTCGCCCCAGCCGAACATCTTCTTGAACTTGCCGGTTTTGACGATGGGCCGCCGTTTGGCACGGGACCGAGGCTCGCGGGGCGCCGAGGTGTTGTACAGCCAGTTCCACGGCTCCTGCTTGGAGTAGGGGTCCGCCTCGTCGTAGCCCAGGTCCAGAGAGGTGAAGTTCTCCTTGCCGTAGATGGTCTGCGACAGCAGGCGACTGATGGAGACGGCCTTGCTGCTCTCGGCCCAGTAGGTCTTCAGCTTGGATTTTGAGCTTTGTCTTAAGTCGGAACTTCCTGAACTCGGTAAATCGGCACTGGTGACCTGGAACAACAGAGAGGCGAACGGTTAGAAATCTCATATTTCCAGTCCGGCTTCAGAGTTCTCTAAAATGAGCTCTTGACCTTGTTACAAAAGCTCTACAGAGGAGAATTTAAGGTGAAAAAGTGGAGGGTTTAACACTGAAGGCAAACTAACAATTATATTTATTGTTCATTGTCTGGAAGTGGGGTCTTTTGTGTAAACTGAAAAAAATTCCAAACTTATTTCAATTTAACAGAATCTTTCATAAAACTTGAGCAGCAGTCATTTTTAGTAATTCTCAAAGGGAAATATTCGTAATGGTTCTTAGATTTATCAATCTTTTCTCCAACAAAGGGATGATTATTTTAACCATGACTGCAACCTCACAAAATCCCCATTTAAACCCAATCTAATCACAGAAGTAATTGCAATCTTTCATTCAACTCCATATAAAGATGATTTTGTACTTCTGTGAGGCAGGTTCATCCTTCGACTGTGATTGCAAAAATCGAGAAACAGATCGGCCGTCATTCATGTCAATTTTTTCGTGATTCAGCGTCGGTGGAGGCTTAAATTCTATCAAATTTAGCTGGATTTACTATAAAAGATATATCAATACATAAGTAAAATCTGCTTGCTATCCCACAAAAAGAAATTCAGAGGTAAACAGGACACTTTTCAAAGGTATTTATCATTTATGGGCTTGATTAAAGCAAGTTATTATACGAATAACTACTCCCCACAAAAAAAACAGACAGTTTTAAGGGCAAACTTTCTTTGAAAGAAAACATACATACATATCACCAATTTCTATCTGGCATCACAGCCAGAGAGTGAGAGCATAAACAAAGAAATTAATTGGATTGTCAAGCTGTCTAATGGAAAGATAACCCTATCTGAGTCTTGAAATTGTGACATTTCATCAAACTCACTTTACACATGCCTGGCTTGAAATTTGCCGGTGAAAAAAAATTATCGCCCCGCACAAATGAGATGCTGAAAAAACCCTGACTTCTGTCATGCTCTGTGCAGCAGATAAACCGCAGTTCCTTCAGAGGTTCAGGACTTCGTATTACTGTGAGGAATGAGCCTGCCGTGAGTGGGGGGGAAGCAGAGAAAAACAGCCAGAGACCGCCCGGGGCTGGGAGGGTTAATCCACTGAAGGATCACACCGGTCTCCTAAGGATTTACGCAAATTTTCAAAGCCCGCTTCCACTCCCGATGCTCCGATTGAGTCCAGGGGCCGCAATCCTCCACATTCAGACCGGCAAACGCCACCTTGTGTGGACGCCTTTACCCCAAAACCGATACAGAGACTCATCAGAAACTTTAGCGAGTTGTTTTTTATTGTGTTGTGTTGTGATAACCTTGAGTTGACGCGCTCATTTTTTCTGTTCCCCGCTCGCCGGGCTCGACCTCTGTTGGTCTCTTGCTTTTTTTGGCGACTGACAAACAGCAAACAGGACAGGGAAAACACACGACAGACGCCGATATTCCCTTAACAAATGGTCCCGACTCTGTTCACGCGTCTCCCCGATGTGTGAGGCGTCCTAATCAAGATGGAGGGGATCACCGGCGTGGACGTGGAGATGAGTGACGAGCTTCTCGGCCCGCGGACGCCATCCAACATCAGACCATTACCTGCTGAGCGCGCCCTGAAACGGATGATCGAGGGCCGGCCCCCCCCCCCCCCTAAAAACCCCCCCATTTCCCCCCAAACCCCCCCCCCCCCAACGGAGGCCCGTGACAGTGATGTCCAGACCCGCCTGACAGCAGATCCATCTGGTCACATGGTTACATATTGTACTTTCACCCCAGGATCGATACGCGGAAAAATAAGGTCTTCTCTTTCTCGGAAAGTTCGCTGGATGACTTTGGCGGATCTGTAGGTTGGAGTTTGACCGCCGACCTGGCGGGGGGAACGGTCACCAGGGCTCTAATCCTCCTCTAAAGCGCGTCGTGTGCAGAGAGAAGCTCCAGAGTTGTGCGGTTCGAAAAGATGGCCTCCAGTTGTTTTGAAGAGGCCTCGATGACGAACGACCCGGTGAGAACAAACCGTTTCTGGCGCTGTGATCTCCGACTCCCCGAGTCTTTAAATGCGGCGCGATCCGGAGTCGAATAAAAAAAATTGGACACGGCCAAAACGTTTGCAGCCGGTTGGGTTTTTTTTATTTTTTATTATCAAGGATAAAAGAGAAGCCGCAGAACTCTCAGAGCAAAAAATGTTTGCAGCGACAAGATGAAGAGACGTATTTCTGCGCTCAGCAGGGCAGTTAAACCATATTAATGAACCCCTCCTTTTGTCTTTCATAGCTGGAAACAAAAGTCTGTCATGTTTCCCGGCTGGTGATGTATTATAAAAAGATAAAGGGAGCGCGAGGATGAGCACAGACATCCTGTTCAGGATTTATTGGCACCATTATGGTCCAACATGAAACTCCTCAGAATGTAAAGTCCAGTGAAGAAGTATGTTATAGACCATCAGCCGGAGGGGGGGGGGGGGGGCAGAAAGCAGTTTTACGCATTTTTCATGGGGGAAATCATTGAAGTTCTTAATTTCAAAAGATGTATTGTTTGAAATTTCCAAGGGGACAAAAAACAGCTGCTCACTTGATAGTTGCAACATTCATGAACGCACACATCATCACAAGGTTGGACAAAAATGCTACAAAAAAAAAAAACTGAGCGGGGGTCAGTTTAATTTATTTTAGAGCGATTCTGGTAATTGTAAATGAGCAAATTGTCTCCAAACGCTCTTTGTCTGCTACTCCAAGCTGTAAAGCTCATCTGTTTCTCATGGCTGTTTCTATTCTGAGCGGTTAAAAAGGCTGTGGTCTCTAATCGTCAAATGAAATATCATTTTGAAAGCGCGGTAATTACTGATGCCTCTCTGTAACTGGGTTTCGGTCCCGGCGGAGTCCCGGAACCAGATCAAGGGATATTAGGGAGGAGCTTTGAGCTGGTTCGAACGCCTCCCTTGGCTAATCGCTGAGAGAGTGAGTCGGTTTTGTGTTGATACAGCATTTTAATGTATGAATCTTCTAGAAACAAAAAAAAAAAAACTGGGAAACTCTTGAGTTTAACTGTCTTGACGTCAGAAAAAGAATAAAAAAACATCAATTTGGCGAGTTTGGAATAACTTTCGGTAAGTGATCCAATTTTCGGAGAGGTTTATGTCACTTTTTTTTTTACCGAGATGATCAAATTTTACACATGTGAAGCGTGTGCCCAGTCATCGTCAGACCTAATTCCCCCCGTTGCGGGTCTAAGCCCCGCTCTGTTGTCGCCAGCCTTTTTGCGTCCTGTTCCCTAACTGTGACACGCAATTAGCTTTCATCTAAAGCACCTGACAGTCTCTGGATTAGAGCCCCTCGGAGGCACGCTGACAGAGACCCCCACTTCACGGATTAGAGCCCAAACCTGTAATCCGGCCCAGGGAAGATTAGGCAGATCAGAGGCAGTCCTGACTAAAGCGACGCTCACATCCACAACACCCCGCCTGATTGCACCAACACTCCCAGGGCCAAGAATTACTTCTGCTCAGCTTCTGCAGAGAGACGAAAAAAAACCCCAACAACAACAACGCGCAAGCTAAACCACAAAGGGAGTGTGTGTCCGGGGCAGGGATGCGCCTGAAAGGAGAGATAGCGCCGACAGAAACAACAAAACGCGGCGACACAAAGGTCAACGGTCACACTGTGATAACTCCGGCCCAACGCGCCGGTACCGACTCGTCAATACCAGGAAAAACATCACCCACGGCTAACGGGAGGGATCCGCCTCTCGCTTAATGACCTTTACTAATGAATTTAGTCACGACACAGTGGAGAAATCGCTCGCCAAAACTTTCCGGTCCCCCGAATGTCTCAATTCCAAACCGAACCAGAAAACTAGGGCCTTTTCCGTTTGGCGATCTTAAAGGGTTTTTTTGTTTGTTTGTTTTTTTGGCCAGAGAAAGGTTAGGTTAAGATTTTCCAGCATTTCACAAAAGGAAAGCAACAGTTTTGACATATTGTCCTTAAACTCATCCCTCAGACGCCTGCTGTGACCGGTTGGAGGGGTCAGCAGCCTCGGATTGAAAAGCGCCGCCGTGACCGGCCTCTCCGCTGGTCCACAACCAGCACAAAATCCCTAATCCTTATTTCTTCTTGGGGGGGAAAAAAAAAAAAGTAATATTTCTTTAAAAAAAGAAGCACACCGAACCGAGAGCTTCGAGTAAATTCAATTTACTGGTAACCTTTTGATTAGAAAAAAGCATTTTTGTCGATTGTAGGTGGAGGAAAGTGCTACACAAACACGTTCAGTTGAGTTAGTGATTAGTTGTTAATTATTCTGGAAACACTTTGATAATCAGCTAATTATTTATGCTGTAAAAAGTAAGCTGCAAAAATTAAACATCCTTAATGAGGTCCTTTTTAACATTTCTGTTTGGGTTTAAGTAAACTGTCGTGAAAAATGTCTTAAGACTTCTAAAGAAAGATGAGATGACACTGAGGTGTGTAAGAGGCATACCGATGCTCGGAAGCCATTTGTGGAACAGAAACGGGAGGCTTCCTCACAAGAATGTTGAAAACAGATATAAGACAATTTTACAGAGTCCATCTTTTTCAAATGAACCAATCAAGACACCATATTCACAGAAAAAAAGGAAATAAGCGATAAATACTACAGAAAATGCTGCGAAAAATAGTATCTGAATATTAAAAATGTACATAAAATTGCACTGGGACTTAAGAAAAATGAAGATAAAGATATCAGACAAAAACTTTTTTTTGTTAAATGAGCTGGCTATTGGTTTTTCTATGATTTCTGCACATTTTGAATCTATTATCAGGATAATACTGTAGATTTTTGTTATTTTCCTCCATGTCCGCATCTTATTAAAACAACAGAGCCAACAGTGAGATGATCCCGCTAACAAGCGCTGTCTCATTTATCTGCCTGCTCTGTGTCAGCCAGCTCCACTGTTGTCCGCAGACTATTAAAAAACACATCAGTGAGTCGCACCGTCACACTGCCTGACATGTCTCTTCATTACTGAGAACAAACACACACACACACAGCAGTTTATTTGCGCACACACACACACACACACACACACGCTGGTACACCGCTGAAAAGGCTCCCGAGAGCAGCGGATTCTCTCCTTTGTTGACACCACGCAAAATGTACTAAATCTCCGGCTGGAATACTTTGAAATAGAATTCGACTATTTTAAAAAAAACCAGTCTTACATGGCTTGATGCATATTGTATCAAACAATAGAATTCAGATTTTAAACTCTATGAATATGAATACACAAACACGTATATACTACATTTATACATATCTATATATCTATGTATATTTATCTATCTATATCCATATCTATATCTATATTTATATCTATATCTCTCTCTCTCTCTCTCTCTCT